TTCTCCAGGAACGGTCTTCCCAGGAATATACAAAACACTATATGTAAATGTTGTGTACACTTTCTTGTTTCAATACATTTTGTTCTAAGTACATTTTGTGTTGCATTATTATTCCATGCATTAGTCAAGTTTCAACAATATATATATATATATATATATATATATATATATATATATATATAGTTCTTGTGGGGCTCTCCCCTTTTTACATAAGATGGACTCGTCCAAAGTATACTTATACTGACAGAGAGAATACCTGCTGTTGAGATACGTTGAGACAGGTTAAGAGATACGGAGACAGACACAGAGTGTTCTCGGAGAGTTATACAAGAGTCCAGAGAGAGAGAGAGAGAGAGAGAGAGAGATGATTACGGCTTTCCTTACAGAGACTTGTACATATACTTTCTACTAACCCGCATTCCTGGACTACTAATCTTCACTTCAAGTCTGTATTTTTACGTTTAATACACTTATTTTTCTATCTCAATTACTGGCGTTGTTTATTTATTTGTGCTGGATTCCATTCACGGAATCCACAACAATAGTAATGCCTTAAAATCCGAGTTTAATTCGTTCCAAGACCGAGCTCGTAACTCAATACACTCGTGTCTCAAATCAGTTTTTCCAATTAAAATTAGTGAGAAGACTTACGATCCGTTCCAGGCACCTAAAAGTTGCTCTTATTATCTTAAAACTCATCCCTATTTTTGTATTTGTGGGTTTCTTACCAGCGAAAAAGTGTGAATAAGCAAGAAATATAGTTTACAAGCAATAAAATAAATGAAAAAATTCAATTTATAAAGAAATATACTGTACTAAAAACCATGAAGTTCAGACGAGTCATAGGCCAACTGTATAAAGTGAGAGAGAGATAAGGACAACAACAGCTAGCCTAGCAACCGCTAACGTAGCCTAGCAACTGCTAATCTAGCCTAGCAACGGATAGCTTAGTCTACGATACCGAAGATTAACTTTATTACTTAATTGTTTTAAAACATTTACATTTTATCCGTTACTGTAACTAATTTTCCAAAAGTTTTTAAATTTTATTTTTATTTATCGTCGATGTAGAACACTCATACTATCTCGCCAAATCCATTACTCGTACGTCTTTTTGTGGTTTTTTTTTTTTTTTTTTTGGTTTTTTTTTTTTTTAATAATTTCCCGCTTTACTTCAAGTGAAATCACACTTTTCGGCTTTTCACCACTGCTTTTTACATGTACTTGCTTCGGAGCCATGCTTGCCACTAAACGAAATTTGCAAAATAACGGCAAAAAGAAGAAAGACACAACGCAACACAACACAACAGAGATCCTTCCAGAGCAGAGATGAACACCTGTACTGTGGATGCATTTAACTGAAACTCGCTCGTATCTTAAGGCAAAATGTCGACCGAACTCCACCTTGGATCTTAAAAAATCGGATGTTGGTACGCTCGTATCGCAATGTATTTACTCTCTCTCTCTCTCTCTCTCTATATATATATATATATATATATATATATATATATATATATATGTGTGTGTGTGTGTGTGTGTGTGTGTGTTAATCATTTCACCTCCAGTAAGTCAACAAAGCTACTAGTTCGCAGTGTGACAGAATATAAGAAAAAAAAAACTCTATTTAGGAGAGAGAACAATAAAAGAAGAGGAAGTAAGAAGACAGAAGATAAAGATTGCATTTAAATTTTTGAAGATCAAACTTGACTGGAAAGAAAGAAGACAGATCCACAAGTGAGAAGTGCGAGAGAATAAACTGTTAGCATAGAACTTACGGTTTCATCTAGCCATTTCAACTGTAAAATGATGAGACCATGCAGTCAATCAAGTACTGCGCTTAAATCCATAGAGTCTAGATACCATGGGGAAGAGAAATATTTATTTTGAAAATACAAAAATGTGACACTAGGTCAAAAGGGGGAATAGGCGAAGGCTGGTTTTCATTTTGTTTTAACTTTAAACTTAGCTAGCCACAATTACTGATCCAAATATAGCACAGAATTCCTCACACCAAAACAGATTCTTGCTTACCTTTCTTACGACAGTCACCATAATACCTCAAGTCTCTATAAAATCCTAACTAGTTCCCCTATGTACAATTTATCTTTGTGGAGGGTATAAAAATAACTACTTTTAAAAATGAGAAATTACCCTGAAAGTATTTATAATAAAGACAGTAACGCTACATTACGGCGATGAGAAAATGATTGAAGCCAAATTGCAAATTGTTATTTGGACTTTAACAAGGATCTTTCTCTCCTTCTCTCTCTCCTTCTCTCTCCTCCTCCTCTCTCCTTCTCTCTCTCTCACCCTATATATATATATATATATATATATATATATATATATATATATATAGGCGGTATGAAAAATATATAAAAATTGTATGTGCCTGCTCACTATATGAATATCCTGCCATTGTTAAACGGAACATTTCTCAGTTAACTCACTACTGCACACGTTAAACATTGAAAACAGACTAGCCACAAATATACACGAATGACAAATGTAACCTAGTCTATATGGCAACACAGCGCCATCTACCGCAAACTTTCTTCAAACTTATTAACTCAAGAACGAAGGATTTGTGAACATACGTTAATATGGACTTTTGTTCTTGGTTTGGTATCAGGAATCCACTCACAATGTTTGTAAAAGGATTTTCAATACATGATAAAAAGCTGAAAGAAATCGGGTAATTTATAGATCTAGATACACCAGACGTCTAAACGTTCAAATTTGATGCTGAACGTCCATGTATCTTTAACGTATACGATGTAATATTGTAACTGTCAAGAACACCAGGTCGCTCGGTGTTGACCTCAGTGTCACTTTTTATAATTACACACGTTCTGTTTCTGATCTTGAGCACTCTTACCCATAAATACAGCATTCCTTAAAATTATGTTTGTATCATATATATATATATATATATATATATATATATATATATATATATGTAATGGATCTGTTTTTAATCCGACATTTATTTCTCTGTGTGTGTCTGTGTCTGCGTGTGTGTCTGTGTGTGTGTGTGTTGTGTGTGTGTGTGTGTGTGTGTGTGTGTGTGTGTGTGTGTGTGTGTGTGAGAGAGAGAGAGAGAGAGAGAGAGAGAGAGAGAATGATTCTCTCGATAAAACTATTATTAGTTTGAAGATCATTCTGGAGACAAAACGTTTTGCTTTCTATCTTTTTTCTCTCTCTCGTTCTCTCTCTCTCTCTCTCTCTCTCTCTGTGTCTATATATATATATATATATATATATATATATATATATATATATATATATGGACCATTAAGAAATTTCAATTAATAAATATGATAATTCCGATAAGCACAATATGTTACTGTATTTCAAATGTAATTTAAATTGTTTTTTATTTTATTTTTCCATTTTCTGCTAAAAATAACCGATTATTGCCCTTTTTAGTCGTCTTTCATCGCAATGTAATTCTGTTTATTAAAATAAAATCTTCTGAAACTTTATTTGAGGAAAATTAGCTGATTTAAAGTATAATTAATCTAATTTGAAACAAATATTATTTAAATTAAGTTTAAAATATTGCAGAAACGCATTTTTTTTTAATTCGACAGTTGTTGTTTATTTAAGGCAGTGGTTCTCAACCGGGGTCTACATGGACCCTAGGGGTCCATGTAATATTTCCGGGGGTCCACAGGCAAAACTCAATTGTTGTGTTAATTAAAAATAGTAATAATAATTATTATTATAATTATAGTAGAATATTTTATTTGCATTAAATTAGTTTTCATTTAAAAATAAAGCTTAATCGTATACTATTTCTTTGATAATTAAAACCTTAAAATTTATATTAGTGAAGAATAGAAAATTGTTCTTATGTCCAATAGCTATGAAGGGGTCCACCAAGATAAAAAGAAGGGGAAAGGGGTCCATGGGTAAAAAAAAGGTTGAGATCCACTGATTTAAGATATCAACGTGCTCACAGTATGATGTGATTCTACAGAAACTTAATGTGTAAAGCATAATTTAAAAAAAAAAAGACGTGAGCACTTTTATTACACAAATTTTAAGTACTCAGTAATTTTTAAAAATTAGGAAATTATTCTCCGTAATCTAATGTTTTTATTGAATTATTATTGAATTTTAGATATTGTGGCTTTAAATTTACTATAGTCATCACTCTTATTTTCTGTATATGATCGACCGTACTTTCAAAAATCGTCACGTTTATACACATACAAAAAAATTCTTTTAAAAATATTAGTGATAGATGATTTGTATTAAGATTTTCCATTTATGATTAGTAAATATAGTTTTCACTTAATAATATTCTAAAAGGGTAAAATTAACAGGGAATTTTAAAACATTTAAAACTTAGTATTTTTTCTAATTAAAATGTTTAAAAATGAAAACCATTTTTGAAAAAAAATCATTGCTCGCCGAAAAAATTTCTTAAAACAATAGTGTTCTTAATATTTATAAAAGCAATTAAAAGCTTTTCTAATTAAATAATGTCAAAGTTATATTGCATTTTTTATTTTACAATTCAAAGCAGATTTTCGGTAAATTGCGTTCCTGTTTGACAAAAAACAAATTGATCGATTAAATTCTCCAAGGTGTCCTACTTTTAACTAATATAAATATGAAGAGAGTGGAATTTTAATTTCTCGAAAGTTCATTAAGTGTGTGTGCGGGGGAAATAACAGATTTTTTTAAAATATTTTTACGAAGAGTTTCTTAAAAAATATTTAAAAATTAATTTAATTCATTTGTGAATAACTCCTGAAAATTTCAGTAAAATACTACAATTATTCGATTTCTGCAAGAATTATTGAAGGCTGTCTTGGATATAGAAGTATTTCCTTCGGTTTGTATTCTCATAACGTTTCTTTCTAAATGGATACCGTTTAGGTTGGTGTGTTGAAGGTTTTTCAGGAGATCAGTTTTCGATTCTTTTAATAAATCTAGGTTTCATTACCAGTAACTATTTTGTCCATTATTTTCCGTGCCAACAAAAAAGG